CTGTAGCCAGGATGTCCATTGCCGGCTTGGATCTGATTCGAGTAGAGCGAAAATCAATAATACCTCGGCAAGGCTATTGCACCTTATTACTTTACAAATGCGCGACATTAATCAGGGAGGACTAAAGAAAGGCAGCGCGACGTAAGTTCATTTATTGATCGAGTTGCAGCGCCATCAATGCTTCCCACTATGCCATGTTGCACAAGGATTCNAGGGTGAACAACAAATGGCATAGGAACCATAACATGTTGCGACGGCTCTACAGGAGCGTAGCCGACCTCTGCTCTTGGAAGGAATACTGCCTGGAATGCGCGGCAACATAAAAACTGATATGCACAAATTAATTTTACACGTTCTCGGGAAAAACAGTGACTGAGAAGAACATTCGGTTAAGAAGAAGAAACCAATGATACCAATGATGCAATAAAACCAAGGCAATCTTACCGGCCTCACTGTGGGCTGCATATACATTCCCGCTGGTGGATAATGCATACCGGCAGGAACGACTTGCTGTCCAAGGTATTGAGGTGTCACCATCTGGAAGCCCTATCATAACAGAATCGAACACTTCGAACATTGAAATCGAAGAATTACCTGCGGGTGTGGTACCGGCATAATAAACTGGCCACCGCCGCGTTGCTGAACAGTTATCATCGCTTGAGGTGGTTGATTCATCTGTGGTGGGGGTTGTTGCTGCTGATGTTCTTGCTGCATAGGCGGTCCACTGTAGCCAGGATGTCCATTGCCGGCTTGGATCTGATTCGAGTAGAGCAAAATTCAATAATACCTCGGCAAGGCTATTGCACCTTATTATTTTACAAATGCGCGACATTAATCAGGGAGGACTAAAGAGAGGCAGCGCGACGTAAGTTCATTTATTGATCGAGTTGCAGCACAATCAATGCTTCCCACTATGCCATGTTGCACAAGGATTCAATGCAGACCAAAAATAACTGCTATTGGATTGTGCTCACTCGGTCTCAAAAACTATAGCAAACGAGAAAGTGCTCATAGGCGTCGCGGCTCCCTGCGCCACCTTCTCTGGGCTTGTCAATAATTCTTCCTTAACCTCGCAGAGAATGAAACGCACAGTTTGGATTTGGCGCTTCAGAATGAGGGGAGCAGTTAACTTTGACTGCTCGAGAAGCTCAAAAGTAAGAGAGAATGAGCAGGTCAGATGCTGAAGCAACGGATCGGAGACGGAGCAAGTAAGAAAAGAAATCGCGCCTTCCTTGCCAATGGCATACTGGAATTCTTTCCTAACACTGCCAAGATTAACAAAGGGCGAGGCAGTGAGACTATGACCACTTTCTTCTTAATAGGAACGCCATATCAATCGCCCTGAAAACGGGTCCAAGTCAAGAGATCACTAAGGAATCTTGTTAGTCACTTTTTTACATGCGTAATATGGTCATTAATAAAGAGAAAGCCAAAAATGGGCAAGCCAATCATGATGATGAAGAGTTGTTCTACCTAACTCGAACTTCATGATTTTTTACGGTATCAATTCTTCCTAGGAAACCTTCAAAAGCAAAAAACTTGGTGACCTGCGTAATAATGAATGGCAAGTAGAAAACACCTACTTGGAATGCCAAAAAAGGATTCACCTGTTGATAATTTACAGAATTGGGTGGAGGTTGATTGGGCGAGT